TAGGTTATAGTCCTTTGAGGAGGGATAATCCAGACAGATCTCTCCACACTAATGCCTTGACATTGTGGCTTTCTTAGTGACAGAAGAGAAAAGGAACTTACTTGCTCTGAGAATTATTTATGGTGTGCTACAGGATCACATGTTAAAGAAGAGTGACATTTCTTGCCCTGTGGATCTGAGAGTCTCAGGCATTTAGAAACCAGTTAATATGTTTTACTGCACATTAATGAATGTGTTTCTACATATTACATTGATATAACAGGACATAATGTGGCACACTGTGATCCAAAGCCATTGTCTTCTACAAGAACTCTACTTTAAAATGCCGCTTTCAGTGCTAATCCCTATCCTGTATTTGCTCACAAAGGGTTTTCTTGCTAAAGTGACTGATTATTCTGGGTGTTTAGATTTTAACTAGAATCTTTCTGTACATATTTCTGCTCCCTTGGTGGGTCCCATCACAAATTTCTCCCGCTGTGACAAGACTATTGACACCTCTCCAATCAGGACTTTCCAAAGTCAGAGAATTGTCTTATATTTTACTGTTGGAATCAGCTGGCTTTGCATATTTATTGTAATGGTCACTGAAAGGCTCTCTGAGCTTCTCACATAGCATTTCTATTAGATCTTCTGTGTAGTATCTTCCTTCAGGTGTCTTGGTTTATTTGAAGTTTTGGAGACCAGTCTATGAGAAAGATGACAGTGGTCTTATCCCTCCTAGCCTTACATTTTAGCAGATGAAAAAGAAAAACAAGTAGATTGAAGTTTAGATTGAAACAGACTGGACTGAAAGGGATTCCAAGTGACTGAAGTAACCCTAAATTCCAGTGCGGAGCTGATGTTTGGTCCCTTCCTTCCTGGGTTTCCTGACTCTTGTGTTGGGCCTTCTTCCCTTTGCTCCCACTTTAGTGATCCCACATCTGATCTCCTACCCAATCAGTCTGTACTACAAATTATTAGAAAAATGATCTGATATAAGAAAAAACTTTTTAAAAGAAATTAGACAATAAGTAGTGTAGGATTGATCCCTGGGGGAAGGAAAGCAAAGGAGGAGAGCCCTATGATTATTCAGGCTTCCTTCCTGGAGGCATTTGCCAAGCTCTAGCATAGAATACAGGCAGGGCAAGGCAGTCTTGCTGAGATAAGAACACAGAAGTTGGAGTTTGGGGAGGCTGGAATTTCCCAGGCATAATACCAGAGAGGAGGAAGTTGTGCAGAGGACGAGCTCCATAAATCTGCATAGAGGTCCCCTTGAGTCCTTGGCTGAAAACTGAGCTGTATTTGCATAGAACAAGACTTGACAAGACCAGGTAAAGAACAACTTCCTGGGAAAGAACAACTTGTGGGGAATGGAACACAGAAAAACTACCTGAGTTCACACAGATGTTTGAGTTCTAACCAATCAGAGTAAAAAGACATCATTGAATACTTGGGACATTCAGTAAAGGCCCCAGAAAGGCCACATCTTAGGAGCAGGGCCAAAATAGCCCTCTATAAAGGTTACTCTAAATATGTACTAATGAAGCTTAAACACAAGCCTCAAAAGGATCAAGCTGGTCCACAAGTAAATTAACTGACTACTGGATTCTTTAATGGAAGACAACAAAATCCAGACATTTAACAACATAAATTCACCATTTCTATCATGCAGTAAAAAGTTAGAAGACATAGGAAAAAGCAGGAATGCAGGACCTGAAACCAGGAGAAAAATTAGTCAATAGAACCAGGGCCAGAAATGACAGACATGATGCAATTAGCAGACATAGACTTTAGAATGCCATGACAATATCAAGAATGTAAAGGCAGATACGAACATAACAAGGAGAGAAATGGAAGAAATAAAAAAGAACCAAATGTAAATATAAATAGGAATTTTCTGCATACATGTTCTACTTCAATAAAAATTTTAAAATAAAAAAAAAATGGAGCTCCTGTAGTTGAAAAGGATAATACCTAAAAGGAAAAGTCAATGGATGGATTTAATAGTAGATCAGAAATTACAGAACAAAAGTTCACTAAACTTAAAGATGTAGCAATACAAACTATCCAGAGTGAAGCACGAAGAGAAAAATGGCTGAAAAGTGAAGAGCCTTGTTGACCTGTATTTCAATGTCAAGCAGTCTAACAGAAAGGGGAGAGAGAAAAATATTTAAGGAAAAATGTTTTCCAAATTTTCAAATAAATTTTTACGACTTTGACAAAAACTGTAAACGTACAGATATAAGAAGCTCTCTGTGTAAGCAGGATAAACACAGAGAAAACCATACCAAGGCACGTCAGAATCAAATTGCTGAAAACCAGTGATAAAGAGGACATACTAAAAACAGCTAGAGAAAAAAAGACATGTTACACATGAGGAAGCAAAGATAAGAATTATCGATGACTTCTCATTAACAACAATACAAGCCATGTTCTCACTTATAAGTGGAAGCCAAATCGTGTACACATGGCCACAGTGTGTGGAATGATGGAGAGTGGAGACTTGGCAGGTGCAGGGGTCAGAGGAGTTGGATGATGAGAAGTTATGTAATGGGTACAATGTATGTTATTCAGGTGATGGATACCCTAAAAGCCCTCATTTCACCACTAAGCAATCTATGCATATAACAGAATTACACTTATACCCCATTAATTTATACCAAAAAAACAAAAAACAATGCAAGCCAGAAGAAAATGGAATGATACCTTGAGAGCACTGAAAGAACTTATTTTTTTCCAATCTAAAATGTATATTTCCTAGCTCAAAAGCAGTGACAGTCTAGAAACAGTGAGCACCTTAGTACCCTAATTATGGTCCCTAAATATTCTTTCCCAGTAAAGGGAACTAGGGATCCTGAGAAGAATGGTTGATTCCAAGTCTTGGGCAGGATACAAGACAAAACTGGGGCATCTTATTGTGCCAGAAAGGAAGAAAGCTAATAAGGTCTAATGGATAATATCAAAAGAACACAGGAGGCTCCCACTGGCCAATGGTAGGATAATTTGAGCATCCAAAAGATGATTGGAATGAATTGAAGCACATCAGATATATAAAAATCCGTGAATTCATAATGATACTTAAAAATTCTTTGATAACCATTGGATGTTACTAGTGCATTAACTCATTGTTCTGAATGTTGTTAAATAATGGGAAATATCAACCATTTGTTTTACCTTTCCTTAATGAGTAGTATTTCAAGATAAACAAATAGAGGAAGTTAATAAGTGCATAAAATTAGAAAAGTCAGCATTTTGTTACCCCTAATGAAACAATGAATCTGGGCAAGAATCATCAGTAAATGGTAAACCCATTAGGTGAAAAATTGATGAAGAACTTTATAATGGATAGATGTTGACCAATAACATCTGAATCTACTGGTCAATATTTACATTCCATTCCATTATGTACTTCCTTTTTGATTTACAAGTATACTATATTCCCTATAATCAAAACCAAAATACAGATGGTCTCCAACTTACAATGTTTCAATTTAGGATTTTTCAACTTATAATGGTGCAAAAGCAATACACATGTGATAGAAACTGTACTTCAAGTACCCATACCACCATTCTGTTTTTCACTTTCAGTGTAGTATTCAACAAATTGCATGAGCTATTCAACACCTTATTATAAAATTAGATGATTTTGCCCAACTATAGGCAAATGTAAGTGTTTTGAGTACATTTAAGGTAGGCTAGGCTAAACTAGGATGTTTGGTAGTATATTAAATGCATTTTCAACTTACAATATTTTCATCGTAAGATGAGTTTATCAGGATGTAACTCCATCACAAGCTGAGGGGCATCTGTAAAAGCAAAAACTGTAGGCAAGCATCTAGATCTAACTACAGGGGATAGAGAAACAAGTTAAATGACACCACAGGAAACAAGTCAAATCCAGAATGTTGGGTAGTCTACAAGATAACCTAGTTTCTTTACAAATAAATGACATAAAACAAACAGGGAAAAGAGAGAATGGTTATAGGTTAAAACAGGAACATATCAATCAAATACAAACATAAAAGAACATATCAACCAAATGCAAAATGGAGACCTTGTTTAGATCTTGATTTTAACTATAAAAGAACATTTTTTAAGACTTGACATTTTCAAATGGGCTGGGATATTAAAACATTTTTGTCATTTTTTTTGGTGTGATAATGGCATTGAGATAATGTGAAATGTTTTCACTATCTGAGAGAGGTACAGGCTCCAGTACTCCCAAGTGAAATCACTGCGTGGGATCTGCTTTAGCTACCCTTCCCTGCATAGAAAGTCACGGGAAGGAAGAATAAATTAAACAAAAGTGACAAAATGTTGATATTCATTCAAGTTTCATGAGGGGTAGTCATTAGATTACTCTCTTTTGTGCAGATTTTAACATTTCTGTAGTAAAAACTTAAAAAAGACCACATGTTTAAGGACCTTCCAAATATCTATAAGAGAAAGCCTCACTCAGAATGAATAGTGTTGTACAATTCTAACGAGTTTGGTTCAAGTACCAATTATTTGGGAGAAAATAGTCTGATGCTAAAGACTATTTTATTTCCTTATAGAAATAAAAATATTTAACTTGATAACATAATACTGAAAATTCTCAATATAGAGAAAAGCTATAAAGGCATAACATTAGGGGGTTGTAGTGTATTTAATAGATTCACTGTGCCTCAGTTGTCCTGCCAGAGGCCACTGCCTTACAAGCACATCCATCACAGAGCCCCAAACCTGGACAAAAGTGGTAAGTAAAGCTCCTGGTGACTCCTCGGGAAGTCCTTCTCAAGGACTGTGATGTCAGTCGGCCAGAGCCATTTCTAAAGGACTGCTTTTGTTCAAGGATTTGCAAGACGGATACCTGATGGTCTAATATCATATTCCATTATGCATTTTGGTTTTTTATTGTTTTCTTTATCATGATTTATTATTTTTTAAGTTTTTCTTTGACATTTGCTCATTTTAATCCATGTTCATTTCTTCTTCTGTGTTTGTGTCACCCTTGCTGTCTTTGCCTCCATTGTTCCTAGGTTACAGTATAGCCAGGATATACCCAGTCACTTGGCCGATGAGCATGCGCTGATAGCCTCCTATGTGGCCCGTCTGCAGCACTGTGCACGGTCAGTGGTGGTGCAGCAGCAGCAGGCGGGTAGCCTGGGGGTGATCAGAGGGAGGGAGAGCTGTGTTGCCTGGGGTTGCCAGCTGGAAAAATCTCTGCATGTGGGGTTTTTCTTGAGCAGCTACCAGCTATGTTTGGCAGAGTTGAAATAATTGGTAAAGCATTAGCTTCTACAAGAAAGGGAGCCTTGCCAAGCCCAGGCACTTACCTAAACAGAGTCAGAAATTCTCCCTTAAACCAGGGTTCACTTCCTTAAGCTTACACCTAAAGAGTATAGAAACCTCTGAGAAAGATCTGCAGTTCCAAAGATATAATATTCACAGAGTTATTTGATGCAGCCTCTTCCTGTTCATTCTTACCTAAATAATGAAATCTTTCTATTGACATTCAAAGGTTGATCAACCCACATATAGCTCACTTTTTCTAATCTGGGGGCTTTGATACCATCACCCAGCAGAAATCTATCATTGTTGGTTATTTAAATACCAGTGATTCCCAGCAGTGGTACTGGATCATTGTCATCTGAGGGGCTTTTGTCCCAAACTATATATACCTCCTCCTATTATAATAATTATATATTATAATGGCTCCACATACCCCTTACCCTGAAAACTACCATGGTAGTGACTCACTGTTAATATGGGAATGTGACTGATTCTTCAGTGGGTCGTTATGGAAAAACATTTGATAACTGTTAACTATGGTAAAGTTAATTCTTTTTTTTAAAGAGTTAGTACCGAACAAAGTGCTATTCCATTTAGGCAGACGCTAAGCCTCCTGCCCGCTCTATGCCCACACCCATCACCATTCTTCAGGGAGTATGACAGGTAAAGTTTAAATAACTAACACCATCCCTCCCCCTAACAGCAAAAAGGAGTCATAATGCCAAACAACTTGTAAAACCCTGCTTTGAGATTCTTATTCTTAGAGAGAAAAACATAATTTATAACCTACACACAGAGGCTAGAGCCTTAAATTTTTATCTTAGTTTTATCCATAGCATGCCGTGGTTCCTTGGGGAAGTCATCTGACCTCACTCCTACTCCCCATGGTAATAGAAGAATAAATTAATAATCAGTGGGGAAATATACATATGAAAAGGACTGTTTTTAATATTATGCATTGTACCACCTCCCATAGTTTTCCCAGTATGACTAAATAACATTATTCTGGGGCATTTAACCTATCCCTAAAGCCTTAGGGAAATTGTAGGTTCTCTAACATCCCAAGTATGTTTAATAGGCTTACCCTATAGGAGGGAAGGAAGGGGCAGATAATTGTGCAATGTAGCAAGAGTGTCTCATTATCCAACAGATGATTTTTGTACACTCTGTCCCAGCCTCTTAGTCTCTAGGAATAGAGTTGTTTCACCCCAGGCAGGACAAATTATGTTTGCCCTTACTGATTAAAAGTTTCCATGATAAAAATAGCAGTGGAGGCCGGGCGCGGTGGCTCATGCCTGTAATCCTAGCTCTCTGGGAGGCCGAGGCGGGCGGATTGTTTGAGCTCAGGAGTTCGAAACCAGCCTGAGCAAGAGCGAGACCCCGTCTCTACTAAAATTAGAAAGAAATTAATTGGACAACTAAAAATATATAGAAAAAATTAGCCGGGCATGGTGGCGCATGCCTGTAGTCCCAGTTACTCGGGAGGCTGAGGCAGGAGGATCGCTTGAGCCCAGGAGTTTGAGGTTGCTGTGAGCTAGGATGATGCCACGGCACTCTAGCCGGGGCAACACAGTGAGACTCTGAAAAAAAAAAAAAAAAATAACAGTAGAATGTTTGACATTACCTGGTAATTTAGCCCAAGAAGATTTATGGTAGGTTTAGCTCAGGTCCTCAAGTCTTACCTAGGCTCCCAGAGCACAAATGGGTGACCAGTAGGAGAATAGGATGAGTGGCCCTGGGAGAATATGATGAGTGGGTAAGTAAGTACTGCATCTCTGCGTGATTTATAGTCTAAGGAACTGAGCCTCACACTTCCTCGAAGAAGTCAGAAACTTCCTGGTTAACTATTCTGAAAGTGAACGTCAACTCAAACAGAAGAATAAGGAGCCTTTCTAATTGCCCCCAGATAATTTTCGTTGACCTCAAAACCTCTCATCAACACACGGTTCTAGTTTCTGGCTAGAAAGCATAGCCAATTAAAGCAGCCATGTCATCCACACTCATGTATAGACAAATAGGATTAACCTTCCTAAGGAGATGGAATGTGATAGAGAAAAAGGAGCTCTTTTGTACAAAGGAAACTCTTGTATCCCTTACCAAATAAGAGAGGTCAGCCACTTTAGGCCCGACTTCATAGGCTACCAGTCCCTCCATACTATTATCCACTTGTATTGTTAAATATTCATTTTTGTTGTTTTTTTATTTAAAAGACAAAGTTAGGTCTCTTATTTCAGACAGATACCTTTAAGGCACAAATATTATAGTTCATCTCTGACCTTAGGACCTTGACCCATTAGTATTAAAGCCAACTGATGGTAGCATGTTCTTATTACAAGATCATCTTTTGAGAGGACGATTATACATGCTGGAGACTGACATTTGCACACCTGAAGTTATAGAGTTGACAAATGTCATAGTCAGAAGACTTATAGCACATTTTAAAAAGTTCATCCTTGAACTTTGACTATGTTAAGCCTAAAGAATTAGCCACAGAGATAGGGGGAAAAAATCTCGAAACAATACAGCCAGTTCTATATATGAAAATATCAGACAGCTCTTTATTCATTTAGCCTCACCCTTCCCATATTCCCCTCATTAATTATAACAAGGTTTGATGAGTATTGAACTCATGTCTTTACATTTTTACATATTTCTTGTCATACTGCTAAATTCTGATCAAGGGGTTTTGGAAACTCCAAGAATGTAGGGCCAAAGTAGAGGCAAGCCACAACAGCCACTTCTGATCAGTCAGTCATCATCATCATCACAATTACCTTAAAGCATCTGCCAGTCTTAAACAAAGAGAATCATATAGCCATAGTCCCTATTAATCAAGGACTGCCTTAATATAGATAAATGGCACTTGACATAACAAATTAGTGAGTTATTTCAGAATCAGCGAAAGGTTCCATATTAGCATCCAGTGTACACAGAGCAAGCCTGCTACTCAAGAACTCTTTTTTCATCTAAGTGCCACATTAGCTGATGTCCCATCTGGGGGGGTCTTTAAATTTTTAGAGTGCCGGTACTCTTGTTAAAGAGTAATAGATTAAACTAATTCACTCTGAGATGGGGCTATAGTTGTAGAATGAGCATAGTAAAAAATGAGAAAGAGGCATTAAGAGGGAATCTTTGATCCCATGGAATCTTCTCCACCTGTATAATGTGTTCAGCCTGCCCTGGCCAGGGTTCCCCACTTCTCCTCAGCCAGGGTCAAGTATACTTTTTCTCAGCCCTCTGTTTTTCATGATACTTTAGTTTTCTCTTGGCCTTTTTGAATTCAAGATCTAAGTCTAAAAAGTCTAGGTCTAGGTCTAAAACATTTTCAAAACATTTGGTTAGAAATCCCTGTCCCAGACTTTGTGGGTGCCCTGTCTTTTCTTAGTCCCTCCATTAAAAAAGAAATGCCCCCTTTGATTGTGGGGCAGCAGTGGGGATGTGCTGCTGAAGAGGAATGACACGTGTGGCCTCATCATTTCTCCAAATCCCCTTTTATCTCAGAAGACCATTAGTACCTATGACCCAAGCCTCCATTTCTTTTGTTATCATTCTTTTTTACAAGCTTTTCTTCATCCATTCTTTCTAAGAATGGAGCATGAATAGGGGATGTTTAATAGATACCTGTTGAATTTTTATTTCCTTGGCAGTGTTCTTGATAGTCCTAGCCGACTGGATGAGGAACACCGGCTTATAGCTCGCTATGCTGCCCGGCTGGCTGCAGAAGCAGGAAACATGGTAAGTAAAGAGAGGATCCTAGCAGAGTAGCAGAAATTAGCATTACTTTAATATACAAATGGTAGGGGGATAGTAAACATGAAATTCAGGAGAGTGGGTACCTCAGGTACAAGAGGAAGAGGGGAGTATGTTTAGGGAGGAGATTGAGGGGGCCTTTTATTTTGTGTTCTCTGTTTAAAAAATGAATCAAGAAAAATCAAAGAGAATTTAGTTCTTCAAAAAGATCAAAAAAATTAATAAACTCCTAATAATACTGATCAAGTAAAAAAGGAGAAAATACAAATTACTAATATCAGGAATGAAAGAAGGGATATCACTATAGATCCTATAGGCGTTAAAAGTGTGAGACGGGAATATTATGAACAACTTTTTCCCAATAAATTTGACAACCTTGATAACTTCAATTTAGACAAATTCCTTGAAAGACACAAATTAATAAAACCGACATAAGAAGAAATGAAAAATCAAATAGTTCTATATCTGTTGAAGAAACTGAATTCAGGCTGGGCACAGTGGCTTACTTAGGCCTGTAATCCTAGCACTCTGGGAGGCCAAGGCAGGAGGATTGCTTGAGATCAGGAGTTCGAGACCAGACTGAGCAAGAGCAAGACCCCGTCTCTTCTAAATATAGAAAAAATTAGCCTGGCATGGTGCCACGTGCCTATAGTCCCAGCCACTGGGGAGGCTGAGGCAGGAGGATCGCTTGAGCCCAGGAGTTTGAAGTTGCAGTGAGCTATGATGACACCACTGCACTCTAGCCAGGCAACAGAGTAAGACTGTGTCTCAACAAAAAAAAATAAAATACTATACCAAAAAGAACTAAAAGAAAAAATAAAGACCCGTTTTAACAAGAACTGAGAAAGGTCACAGTAAGATTTATACTAAACAAATAATACTAATAGGTGATATTTGTTGACTATTCACTCTATGCCAGTCATTATTCTAAGTGCTTTGCATAGATTAGCTAACTTACTATTCAAAACAATCTTGTGAGGCAATTAAGTCTCAAAGAGACAAAGGCACTACTCAGGGTTACATAGTTTGTAAGTGGTCAAGCTGAGACTGGAATAGTATTCTGTCTCCTAACTACTGAGATTTAACTACTGAAGGTTGTAGTTCAGGAGGAAAGGAATTAAACCTAGAAACAAAGAGTGAGATGGAAGGAGGAATGATCTGAAGCCAAAACAAGGGACTGTGCCTGCATTAACCACATAAAGAGAATGGAATGTGTGCCCAGTTGGGTATTTCAGCATATGTAATGGCCCTGAGGTTGGAGGTCACATGACCTGAAGATGGCACTGTGGCCAGAACACAATAGAGCCCAACACTGGATTAAAGAGAGGCCCTCCAGCTCGTGCAGGGCCATGTTTTACAAACCCAGAATATCAACTTTAGAAATGTGTATTATTTTATGTTTACTTCTTCATAGAGTTACGAAAGCTGCAAATGGGGATTATCACTTTGTTTCTCCCCCCAAAAAAGTAATTTATCCCCTTGGGTTTGTTTAAATTTCAAAATCCTTTTCTTGAGAATCTAACGTCAGCTCACATATCTGACTCTAACATTACAACTCTAAAGGTTAGTGAAGTGGAACAGACTGGAAAAAGTCTGAGAAAAAGAAAAGTGCTATTTGATTAGTTAAACTTTACACATGTCCTCAGTCACAACTGTTCAAGTTATTTTAGAAATTGAAATGTATAAATAAATTTGTTGAGATAGGCCATGCTGTGATTGAATTTTTAAAATTAAGTATATGTAATACCTTATATGGTCTCATTGACTTTATATAGTACTTTTTCAATATTCTAAATGAAAGCTTCAAAGTCATTTGACCCTGAAAAGGAGATTCCAGTACTTCTGTACTGCAAACAAGATAAGTCTCCTTATACCTGATAGTTTCTGATGCCAGTTCTCTTATTCTTATGAAAATGATCATTGATAGAATGGTCTTGAGTATGAATACTGATATGGTCCTTTTATCTACAGTTTATTTTGCAAAATGTAGTTGTCTTTTAAATATTGGGTCTCAAAGGATTCTTCTTGACTAAGATTCGTGTTAAACAGAAGACTACTAATCCCCTAATCTCACACTGATACAAGTGTTTTGCATAAAGTGGGTGTAGTGCTCACAAGAATTTATTTATAGCCTTCCAGATAAGCTTGATTTTTTTCAAAAGCCTTCTTCCACACCATCACATCACTTGAGCAGCCAGCAGCGCACCCTGTAGAGTGCCACAGCTTCTCCCTAGATGGGAGCAGGGCCACAGAAGCCTCTTCAGGCTGACCTTTGAAGAAAGACATTTTAGGTTGCTTACATGAGCCAGGAGAGCTAATTTGTTTTCCTGAAGTGCCAAAGTTGCTTTAAAGAAAAAACAAAAATGTGTGGTAAATCACAGTAGTAATAGCAAATTCTTAAAGCTTCATCACAAACATCACCAGCATTGGATGGGATCAGATGTTTGGTTTACCTTTAAGGTGGGTTTTTTTTTTTTTTCTTTATGAAAACACTTAAAACTCATTATGGAAAACTTGGAAAAAAGGTGAAAGAAAGGAGAAACCATCACCCATTGTCATATTACCTCACACTTGCACGTTTCTGAGAAGCCTTCTTTGAGAGAGTGGGGCCCCAGCCTTTACAGCCCTGTCATCTTCTGGATCATGTTCCAGCTTATACTTCTGGCATGCACCATTCCAGAGGTATCCTCATAGCTTCCTAAGATTAAAGATTAGCAGTATCCTGTGGTGTTTTGCACACATTCAGTGACTCCAACCCCCCCTCCCCCAGAATAGTCATTGTTAAACCTGGCCACATATTATAATCATGTATGAAGCATTTTATAAAAAACATACAGATCCTTGGCTTTGCCTCAGACCTGCTGAATCAGAATCTCTGGAGTCAGGGCCCATCGATCTTTATTGAAAAAAAGAAAGAAAAGAAAACTCCCAGACTTAAGATTTACAGTTAGCTCGGGAACCACAGCCTTAACCAACATTATTGCATTTTTGAGAAAGAGTAATAATCCATAGCCCTCCAGTTAGCCCAGGTGAATTGGATGACGGGCAGACTGCCCCTGGGATAGGAAGAAGGCCTAGTTGATACCAGGCACGTCTCTTTGGGACGTGTCCTGCTGAGTTCATACGGATGGGAGCCTCCAGTCTCTTTTCGGGAGGCTCCCCAAATGCATACTGCTGGGTTACAGTTTGCTGACTGTGTCAGCTTTCCTTGGTTTGATATCATTTTCCCAATTTGACTCAAAGGGGCCTTGTTTCTTATCTTGTATTTTTCAGATGTGTCTCCATCTCATTAAAGATGATGGAGCTCTGAGAGCACGCTCATGTAACAAGGGAAGTTAGAGGCATGTTATCCTTCCTAGGGTTAAAGGGACTTCAACACCTTATTCTCACGCAATAGTAAATGGATCTCACTCTTGGGAGTCTTTATTCTCAAATACGAAAGCTTTAACTCTTAAAATAAGGCCCTCCAATCCCTGACATTTTTTGCCCCTCATTGCTCTGGCCTTAATTATCTATCCACTCAACCTAACAGTTGCATTCATTGTTAGGTACTTGATTATTATTTAACTTTTAGGTGATCTCTCATCTTTTGTCTCCTAAACTCATCCAGCTTATACTTCTATGGCATTTAAGAAGTCTTTTCTCTACAGAGGTGACCCTGCCTAATTGCTTTGACCTAATAATAAAATTAGAAGTAATAGCTACCATTTTGAGAGCCATTTGTATTTATAACCTTGTGCTGCATGTTTTAGAAACATTATGTCTGGTTCTCACAGCAACTCTGGAAGATAGGTAGGATTCCTAATGTGACTTTACAAATGAGGAAACTGAGGCACAGAAAGGTTAAATTACCTTGCCCCAGGTCCCCCAGCTAGACTTGAGATTCAAATACAGGGCATGTGACTTTATATATGAGTGTAGTTTCCTTAAATACTTCTCTGAGGTCACTTTACATATTTACAGTCAGTTAGATAGATATACACAACTGGTGTTTGACTTATATATAACCAATGATTTTGATATTTGGTGTTAAGTAAATTGGTCTACCCTAGATGTATAGGGATTGTTCCATAGTGCCCCAGTTTTGTCTGTTTTGACCAGGTAAAGAACTCTGGTTGCTAGAGCACTGCTTCCAGCCTTGGGTGCACGTTGAAATCACCTGAGCAGTTTTAAAAAAATACTGATGTCTGAGCCTACTTCTAGAGATCGATTTAACTGGTCTTGGATAATAGAGCCTGGGCACTGAGATTTTTAAAACTCTCCAGGTGATTGTAATGTGTGGCCAGGTTGATAACCACTGAGAGCAGTGTTTCTGAACTGGGGATAAGCCACAGTCCCCTTAGCTGAGAGCCGTTTTAGAGGGCACAAGGCAATCATTTTAGTTTCTTTGTTACCCCTCAAGTTCCTCTCCATAGTCTGCCCCTGGCTGAGGCACTTGTACTTTTACTCTTTCGTGCCACGTTTTGCCCTTCAGAATGCCCCTCATGAGCTCACGTTGGACTAAAACATACTAACTGTTGTTGAGACTTCAGTTGAGCTTACCAAATAAAAGCTAAATCTCTGAGCTTATTTTAAAAGTTCAAAAATCTAAACCCCGAAGTTCCCTTGATTTCTGAAACCTGGATGGTCTGGAATAGGTTGAGGAAAAAATCTATTTAGGAAAAAGCTGAAAAGGTGCATGTCATCATCTTCCTAGCCAGAATGCAGATTAAATACCATCTCTATCCTAACTTTCTAGGAAACCTTATTTTCATTTTCACGGCTTAGCAATGCCTATTATTGCTGTAGTAATGCCTATGATGCCTGAGTGTCTTTGAAGAAAATATTTCTGGTTCTTTCTTAGGATTTAGGTTTCACTGATTAAAAATAATCCTGGCTTTGAATTTGATATAGGCTTGCAACTTTTCAGTTTTGTAAGTTTTGTTAAGACCTTGATAAATTTTTTATTATTTCAGAGGTGATCAAGAAACTTCTTGAAAGAACAA